GTGTAACTGGGGCATTATAGAGATTCGCTAAAGCCTCTCTCTCGTGTGTCACATTCTCAATTGGTGCTTGGTGTTTATAAGAAACAGGTCTTTTCTCAGTATCAATAATTGGCTCAAAATTATCAATCTTTATTTCTTCTTTTTGTCTTGGATCATTCAGGTCAGGAATATTTAAGTATGGTAACTGTTTATGCCTAGGCACTGGATCCTCCTCTTCATCATCCCTTGGGAGAAGTGGTTTAGGCTTCTCTTTCGGTTTTGGTATAGCTTTCTGGGTTTTCTTAATTACTACGGGTGGAATTTCTTGCTCCACTTCTTCAATTTCTTCTTCTTGCTCATCATCAGAATCTTCGAATTCTGCTAATTGTCTGTGGTTTTTGGCTTTAGTTTGGTTCTCAAGAGCTTTCTTACTTCTGGTATTGACTGCATTCCTACCAGATCACTCAATCCTTGAACCTACGAGAAACCCTGCTGTCCCTGAGTATCAGCTTGGCTGCGTCTAGTAGCTACATAACTTGCAGCTTCTTGACCTTGACCTTGCTGTCCCTCAAAATATGACAGAATGTTTTTCATATTGTTGACTATGTCAACTTCTTGTGCCGATGGACGTGCCACCTGTGCCGGCACATTATTACCCAACAGCGTATCAATTCAAGTAGCCATTTTATCTAAAAGATCATCTCTCGAATCTCTAATCTGGTTGGTGTATACTGATTTAACTCGAGCATCAATTCCCAACTGGACGATACCTGGCTCTCCGCTGTTCTGGGTGTAAATTTCTCCAGGCGATGCAAACATATTGCTTTGTGCCATCATATCTTTATTGCTAGCTTCCTCAACAATCATTTTAGCAGACTTCCCATTTGTCCCTCTAGGTACTGGTTGTCCTGTGAGCGCGAAAAACATCTTATGACCAGACATTTTAATTTTTCCCGTTCTAATATGTTCTTCCCTATGAGGACAATTCATCGCGAAATGCCCTGTTTCTTCACAGTACCAGCATCCATCTGAACCCATTCTCCAAGTAGGCTGTGTCTGCCTCATGGTGGGTGCTGAGGTAACATGCTGGGTCATTAACGTCTCAGTTAATTTGTTCATTTCTTGTCTAGATGCTTGGAAGGCACTCATTTGTGCTTTTTCACTTGATGTAATTTTATCCATGAGTAACGCAAATTTCTGGTTTAATTCTCGGATATCATCTTCTAGCTTAACACTATGTACTGGCGTAGTATGCGTGTGATGCTCTCATGTTGTCCGTGTTTCTGTCGCATTGACACCAACCCAGGTATCACTTGAAGAGCTAATCCCTTGTGCACGTCCTGCAATAGTCTCAGCCATTTCAATTACATCTAGGATAGGATATGGATCCTCTGGACAGCGTTCTTTTCCTTCAGCAGTTTTTCCTTTATCATCTTTGGAAATTTTAATATTGAGACTTCCTTCCACTTGACCTCTGAAACTATCCCTTAGGCATCCTAAAAACATATCAACTAATTCTCTGTTGCTCACCAATGCGGGTGGCGTCAAGAGTAATTTTTGTTCTGCCCGGAAGCTTCTGGTAAGGTTTTTAAGTGCAATAAAGTCATCAATATCGATGTGCTGATGGTCTTTACAAATTTTTCTTAAATTTGCCAGTCTTCCTTTTCCTGCCATCTTTGCTTCTGGATAATCATCAATCAACACCTGTTTAAACTCCTTGTATTCAACTTCAGGAGCAAACATGTCAAAAGCTTGCCATTCAAATTCCGTCTTTTGGTCCGTGTACCTTCCTAATTGTTTCTTCTTTTCTTGATCATCATCGATACCATGCTCTGTGAACAAGTCCTCCATTTGGTCAATGAATCTTAACAGCTCAATGGGTTTTTCCTTGTCAAAGTTAGGGGCTCCTCGAGAGCCTGGCAATGGCATCGGTCTAGACGATCTTCTGCCTCCAGTGGCAGGAGCTTCATCTTGGGTATTATCTGGCATGTTTGTAATATTTCTTTGGGCTAACGAGTTCGGGTTTATATTATCAGATGCCCTAACAGTTTTTCTACGAGTCGCGCAAGGAGGCAGTTGGGATACTGTCTCTGTCCTTAATGGAAACCTTTGTGCTACTGCTGTTGCAGGTTGCTTAGCTTTTCATTTAGATGGAGGTGGTAAACCTGACGATTCCCCTGCTTTAATAGAATTCGCTGTTTGTCTGATTTTTGGTGCCGTGGTGAACGGCTCTGCACTAGTATTTAAATTGCTTCAAACGCTAGCAGTTTTAATTTTAAACTTTCGTTTTAAAATAAAATGATCCCGTAGATCACTAAACTTTCAAGTCTTTGCTTTATCAAAAACAAAAGGAGACCCTCGCGGTGGGCTCCAGATGATACGCGTTGCACGGGGATGAATGTGAAAGTGCGTAACACACAAACAAGGATCAAGCGCGTCGGGGAAAACCCTATAACACCTAACACTCACTCACACACACACACACACACACTATCACAATCTCGGTGCAAGAGTTCGAGGGCCTTTGGTATTAAGAAATACCACTTTTGTCTTCTTAGGTTTTAAGTCTCAAGAGATTTCGTCTCAAAACGGGTTTTTATTATAAGGTGTGATTTAGAATAGTTCAATAGAACAAAGTATGTCTTTCTGGGAACTTGGTCTCTTAAATGCAAGGTTCTTTGATCACAGTTTCTTTTATTAACACAAAACACGACTTCAATTGACTTTTATGACTCCTGTGAGTTTTTATTATGTCACTATGCTCCAAAACCAAGGGTACAAGTACGCTGTCTCATTTAAATGATACTGTGTTTTTAAAACCTCTTATTCAAAAGTCTCCAAGTAAGTTGACTCCCAAGCATGCTGGCTTCATTCACACTGTACTTTTCTGACCACGAAGAAATCTCCTTTAATTGATTACAACTGTACACCTCCTAAGTCTCTACTTGGAGTGCAACTAGC